GGAACAAGTTGAAACAACAGACTCTGTTTATTCCAGGAAGGAGTAAGCCTAATATATAACCCAACTCTGCACCAGGGGAGGAGATCCACTGAGCTGGCATCTGCTGAGGTGATGTGGTCCCTGTCCATAGCAGACTAGGCTGCTGTCAAGGCCCTCTGGCACACCCAGGCTGGCTGTCAGGAAACATCTACTGCGCATGCTCTTACTATCGGTCTAGGCCGGCTATCAGGCTCATTGAGGCTTAGTTATCCCACATGTAACTGCCAATAGCGAGGCAGAAGAAAGCATAGACAGGGCTGGCAGGCAGAGAGAATAGGAGAAATCGGGAAAGAAAAAGGGAGAAGGAGCAAGAGAGAACAAGAAGAGAAGGACATCAGAGGCGAACCACCCAGCCAGCCAGCCAGCCATGAAGAGTGAAAGTAGGTTATACAGAAGAAAGGGAAAAGCACAGAGGCAAAGTTAGATGGGATAATTTAAGAAAAGCTGGCTAGCGATAAGCCAAGCTAAGGCTGGGCGTTTATAAGTAATAACAAGGCTCCCTTTGTGATTTATTTGGGAGTTGGGTGATGGGCCCCCCAAAAGAGCACAACAACATCAGTCAGCATTCCAGCAAACATCCCTAACTGGACTGTGAGTTACAAAAGGGGGTTGGTGGGAGAAGGATATATATTGGGATTGTTTGTGGGGGGGATAGGAGAGGAGATTAGGGGAGGAGAGTTGGGGTGGATATGGTCAAGATTCTTTGTTTACATGTATGGAATTGCCAAAAATACCTACTAAAGAAAACAAAACAATAACACAAATTTTTGGTTGCATCATATAGCCCATTATACTTTTGGTTAATCAAAAGTATTCCAGGCCCAATCTCTTCAGATAGTCAGTCATCAGTGTCCTCCTTTGTTTGTTTCAGATGACTGGAAACACTGTACCTACAGGATCTCTTGCATAGCACACACATTGTGTTTCTGAATCCACACAAATCTGTCCACCATTACAGCATTTACAGGGACAGTCACACAATGCGATCCTCCCTGTGTATTTGTGAATCTGAAGCAGTGAAATTGAAAGACACTTCTGTGTGTTGCTTTTACACATCAAAAGACCCCGGGTCAAACCATCAGAAGGGAAGGATTTCCTGCAACTGTTTTGCGTTCGGTTTCTGTCAAACCACTTCACACTTTTCTTGGTTAAAAACATAAAAATATGTTGTAAGCATGTAAAAGTACAAAAAAATACATCAGCTTGGCAAATCACTTTAAGAGTTTATGATTAGAGAACACATATATTGTTTATAGACTTAATACATTCTGCTAAATGTTAAGGACTCAATACATTTTCCCTTTTTGGTTCTTGTGAAATATAAAAAGAATTATATCATTTTCTGGTACTAGCCACTGAAAATAAAAATTGAAATACTGGCTGGGCAAAGTGGCTCACACCCCTTAGTCCCAGCACTTGAGAGGCAGTTCCAGGAAGATCTCTGTGAGTTCAGGCCATCCTGGTGTACATAATGAGTTCCAGGACAGCCAGAGCTACACAGGGAAACCCTGCCTTGAAAAAAAAAAAAAATTCAAATACTAATCACATTTAAAAGTGCACTTTTTTTTTTAAGATGCATTGTTATTTTTTTACCTGTATGAGTTTTGCCTCCATGTTGTGTACCACGTAAATAGGCAAGAAGGTGGCATCGGCTTCCCTGGATCTGTAGTTACAGATGGTTGTAAGTTGCCATGTGGCTGCTAGAGCAGGGGGTGCTCTTATCCATGAGCTATCTCCAGCCTCTGCACACATGTGCTTCAAGAATCAATTCTGTTTTCCAATTAAGCATAACTCAAGAGGAAGCAAGATCAGTATTATGTTGTATAGCTTACTGGGTCTCACTATGTAGTTCTGTCTGTCCCGAAACTATGTAGACCAGGCTAACCTTGAACTCTCAGAGATCCACCTACCTGGCTCTGCCTCCCGAGTGCTAGGATTAAAGGTAGGTGCCAGTACACCCTATTCAGTTATTAAAATTAGTAAAGTTCTAAGTAATGAAGTTTTATGGAGGTCACTCTCATCTACAATTTGCAAAGTATTAATTACATGTGAAATCTGTCAAATACACATGAATGAGGGGGAGCATTCTGTGCATTTGTTCCTATGCAATTTCCAGACTAAGAGACCAGAGGATCACCACTCCTTCAGCAGCACTCACACAGTCCAAGCCAGGACTCAACCCAGTTTCAAATAAGTACAAAAATAGTTTACGTAGTAAGAGCACCAAGGAGCCATCACAAGAAACACTCTGACTGGGCGGTGGTGGCACACACCTTTAATCTCAGCACTTGGGAGGCAGAGGCAGGAGGACCTCTGTGAGGTCAAGGCCATCCTGGTCTACAAAGTGAACTCCAGGACAGCCAGGGCTGTTACACAGAGAAACCCTGTCTTGAAAAACCAATAAATTAATAAATAATGAAAAGAAACATACTGTAATATAATAAACTATTAAAATAGCAATTACTTTGTACAAGTAATGAGGGAACGCCAGAAGATATTAAATCTCACATCTATCAAGAGCTCAACAAATGCTTACCAAATTAAGATTTTAAGATCAAACACTGGTGTGTTCTTTAAGATCAGTAGTTTTTTCTTCCTTTATAATTTACTTATTGAAACAGAGCCTCCCTATGTAGCCCTGGCTGGCCTGGAACTCACCAGAGATGAGGCTGGATTAAACTCACGGAGATCCAACTGTCTGTGCTTCCCAAGTGCTGAGATTAAAGCCATCATACCTGGCTGCCAATATTTTTCTTTTTCCTAAACTCTTGTTCCGTCACAAATTTCTTCTTTAAAAATATGGCATAGGGGGCTGGAGAGATGGCTCAGAGGTTAAGAGCACTGACTGCTCTTCCAGAGGTTCTGAGTTCAATTCCTAGCAACCATATGGTGGCTCACAACCATCTGTTATGAGATCTGGTGCCCTCTTCTGGTGTGCAGATATACAGGGAAGCAGAATGTTGTATACATAATAAATAAAATCTTTAAAAAAATGGCATATGCTACAATAAAACTCCGAATTCCTAGTATCAAATATTTCCATGCGTTTCCCTTCTACAAGTAAAAATATAATTACTACCCACACATATACTTAAGAACATATATCAGGGGTTTTGTTTGAAGAATGGTGTTTTTCAATAAGCATTTTTTTTTTGTAAGAAAGTGAGATAATCAAGAATTTCCATGCCAATAATCCTGAAATTCTTTAAAAATAAATCAGTGTCAAGAACAGATGCAGTCACAGTGCCACACAGTGTCAAAGCACAGGACACAGACCTGTTTCACCCACCTTCTTGACATGAGAAGTTACGGATTAGAGCGTCAAGCTCTTCAATATGGGGCCAGTGAGACGGCTCTGCAGCTGTAGGCACTTACTGTGCGGTCCTGACAACCTGACTTCATCCCTGGAACCCAAGACAGAAGCAGAGAACCAAGGACTCTCCATTCTCAGCTCTCACTAGTTGTCCTCAGACCACCACACATACTGTGTTATGAGCATGCACACACACACACACACACACACACACACACATCATATAAATACACATATTCATTATACACTATTAATAACAAAGATACAAATAAAATATTTCAAATAGTAGACTGAAAAAAGAAAAAAAAAAAAAACCCTGAATGAACCTTGGCTTTATGGTTTAAACCCAAAAACTAAAAAAGGGCCAAATAAATACACGATCTCCCTAACAATAAAATGAAATGAAAAATGTGAGTTACTTAAATATTGGAGCTTCAATTTCTTTTCTTTTACAAAAGTGCAACTATGACCTTAACTCTTCTACCAATCAGAGTATTGTTACTTGGCTCCAGTGGCACGCATGGGCAATGCCATCAGTGGGAAAAGCAGACTGGAAGACAAGAAGTTGAGGCCAGAGGCCAACCTAGACTATGTGAAGAGGCTTCACAGAATACACAAGAAATAAATAAACTGAATAACTCTATAGCACTGGATAACTTTGACTTTATCCATTTATCAAATACTGAGCACCTAATACAAGTACATGTGCACACACGCACTAGACCCTGTTATAAACAGATAGACAAAGTCTGGAAATGAATTAGCTTCCGAATAAACCATAGTACTCATAGCAAGCATTAACAGAGCTGAAGAGCTGGAGGAGTGTACAAATTTATAAACTAAAAGATTCAATAACTTTCCTCAGTCATTCTTTTTTTTTTGGGGGGGGGGGCGTCTCATGTATCCCAGGCTGGTGTCAAACTTCTATAGACAAAGATGACTATGAGCAGTCATCTTGGGACTGCCTCTCAGGTACTAGCACTATAGATGTACACAGTCATGCAAGGTTGATGTGGTGGTAGTGCTCACCCAACGTCTTCCTTCCTTCCAGGCAAGAATTCATTCAGCAGAGCTACACGCCCAACCCTCCTCGGGACACTGTTAGAGAACTGCTCCAACAGACAGGTGGTGGACTTAGTAGTGGGTAATCAGCCTTCAGCCTTTAAGCTTAGTAAGTCAAATATAAGCAATTACAAACTTGTTTTGTGTTTACAAACTGAAGATGAAAATTATTACAGAGCCTCACTGAATGGCTAAAAGAACAAGGAGATTCAGTATCGAATGAAAATGGAATTTAGAAGATACAAAATTCTAGGCCAGTAATTTTATAATGTAACATACATGAAACTGGAGTTCTGATTTCACAGATGACAGTAAACTCAAGATAAATGTGGCAATTTTGACATAACTGAAGTTCTATTCAGAGACTACTGGAAAGGGTCACTAACAAAATGAAGCTAATACATTTGACATGTTCTGATAATCTGGAAATTTTCCTCAAAAATCTAAAGTCTGGGGGAAGGGGGGAGTGGGCACACACCTTTAATCCCAGTCATTTCTAAGAGTTCGAGGTCAGCCTAGACTATAAATCGAGTTCCAGGACTGAAAAGAAAAAACAAAACAAAACAAAAAAAACAAAAACAAAAAGTTGTCAAATTAGCTTATGTTCTATATTTACATTTACATTTAATCTATATTGTGTACATCCTCATGACTGTTTAAAATTTCCATTTTTCTTTATGCAAAAGTTTATCAAAATCTTCCAACATGAGATTTAAACTCAACATGTTTACCCAGACAACATATTCATATTTTACACTTGACCCAGTAACTTATACATAGTAGACAATTAATATATCTCAAAGCAGCTTCAAGAGAACCAGATCCAATTCCCAGCATTGCAACTCTGCTAGCTACATCTAAACTAAACAGAAACAAAGGTTATGGGAAGGGTTGTACGAAGAAGAGGAAGCAGTGTGCTGCCCCATAAACAGAGAAAAAAAAAAGTTAGTGTTCCTGGAAACCATTCATTAGAATTACCTAAATATAATCAACATCATTTTAGGATGAGGTTAACAGCTTGATACTCTTATTCCAAAGCATGCTGTCAATCACTATATCAAAGTGACATAACTTGTTAATATTCTATGACCACTTAATATTCTATGACAGTATTTCAGCAGACCTAATCCTAGCATCTTTTGAAAATAAAGTTTACAAGTTAAAATATATTTTCTAGAGATTACACTTTCATAAGATTTAGTCCATCACCTTAAAGATTTAAGACGTCTGAAATTTTAGCATTGGGGGGCAGTCAGGAAAACAGTATTATAGGAGTTTCCTAATGTAGAATATATAATCTACAGGGCTCACATGTTCTTTGGAAAGGCACCATGAACACATCGAAATGTTGAGAAATGCAACTTTCTTCTGGGGAGGAAGAACTGCACCCTCCCCTTCTGCTGATGTCTATCCACTGTATTAGCTGTTGCTGTGACAGAGGATGTGCCCAGTACATCACATGTAAGTCTGAGTTCAATCCCCAGCACCATAAAAAAAAAGAAAAAAGAAAAAAAAAAGTGACGAAAACGCCCATCTACTTTTATAAAAGACTAATAATTATGGTATGGTTTTCTATGACCCACTCAGGCAAAGAGCTATTTTATCAAAACAGAAATTATAATTACTTAATTATTGTTGTTTTATTTTGGTTTCTGGAGACAGGATATCTCTTCGTAGTTCTGGCTGTCCTGAAACTCACTAAGTAGACCAGGAACTAACTCACAGATCCTCCTACCTGTGCCTCCCAACTGGGGATTAAAGGCATCGGGCTATAATTATGTTGTAAAGCGGACCTTTACATCCTCTTTGGGTCATTTTTATAATTTCTAGTAACATCACGTAATCAGTCTTCGTCTGGGAAGAACACAGAATATCTCCAAACCTACTATTATTCACAAAGTAGCTTAATAAATTACACATGGCTCTTTACTATAGTTTGGCATTTTAGTTTTTAAGACACACAAAATATGAAATTTGGTATTAATACCTTAATGTAACACTGCTTACAATTTAGTGGAAGATCTGAACATTTTTATTTGGCTTTCTCAAGAAAAAGGAGTATTTAGCCATGCACCCTGCTCTTACACTATGGCAAACAGAGTCCAGAAGATCCCTTAACTGAAACCCCAATTGTCTTAGTGATGAAACACCATGACCAAAGCACCTTCAGAAGGCAAGTGCTTGTTTGGCTGACACATCCTCATCACTATTCATTACTGAAGGAAGTCAGAACTGGAACTCGAGCAGGGCAGAACCTGGAGGCAGGACCTGATGCAGAGGCCACAGAGGAATGCTGCACACTGGCTTGCTCAACCAGCTTTCTTAGAAAGAACCCAGTACCACCAGCCCAGGGTTGGCTTTACCATAATGGGTCGACCTCATCAATCACTAAAAGAATGCTCTACAGGCTGGCCTGCCCACTCTTATGAGACATTTTCTCAATGGAGGTTCCGTTCCCCCTCTCTGAAGACTTTAGCTTACGTCAAGTTAACATAAAACTAGGCAGTACACAAATCAGTCTGTATTTTAAGTGTTGTACTTGCCAAATTTTAACATTATTAGCTGGGTGGAATATAGCAAAACAGACCCAGAGCTCACGTCACTGTTTCCTAACATACTCAGCCCTGGGTGGTGGGCCAAAGACATCAATGTCTGCATTTTCTTTTGGTTCCACACTTCTTGAACAAATTTCAGTTGTTCTAGATTTCTTTCTCTGGACATTTCCTTATACATACATATACATACATGCATACATACATACATGAGATTGCCTCAGTCATCAAAAATATCCCACCAACCCGAATACAACTCTCTTAAATTTGAATAATAAGGAGGCCTAAGTTTTTTTTACATCTACATAATAAATCCACGTGACCAAGAGAGTATGCGGGAGACCAAACTTGAAGCCTCCCCACTTAGTGCTTGTTCATTTATCACTTCGCCGAAATATGAGAATCTATTTTGAGCCCAGAAGCAGAGATAACCTGAAAAACATAGCCAATCTTCTCAATCTATTAAGAATACTTCATGGGGCGGTGGTGGCACAAGCCTTTAATCCCATTACTCAGGAGACAGAGGCAGGTGGATCTCTGTGAGTCCGAGGCTACCATAGTCTACAGGCCACTAGCTAGTTCCAAGACAGCTAGGGCTGTTACACAAAGAAACTCTGTCTCAAAACAACAACAACAACAACAAAAGAGTATTTCAAATTTTTCAAGTTGACTTAGTTTTATGTGTAAAAATCTGCGCCTTTTAGGTTTTCTATACATTCTAGAGTTCAATACTGCAGATAACTAAAGATCATCTTTCTGTAGTACTGACACAAACAGCATAAGGATAGTTTTTAATTTCCTGCTTTTCTCAGGATATTTATATTGATTTATAAAACCTAAATGAGTAGGAAAATCAAACTGAGTTTTCAAAACCTGAGTAGAGGTAGAATGAGTAAATGATGACCTGGTTGTCTTACTTTATGAACATATGGTAAGCATTTTGTAGACTGCTGTTTATAACTAACTACAGTATACTGACAATATACATATAACAGGAAAATGTTTTGTGGTGGTTAAACTGCCTAAAGCTCTCCTTAACTGTGGGATGAAACTAAACAGTTTATTATTCTAATACAGAAAAAAGCATTTCCATCTTTATTAGTTATGTTAGAACATACTGATCTGTACTCTTCAAAGAGGCAGGCCACTAAAATAAAACAGGGGTGTAAATGCTTAGCTCTTACTTCCAATATTCATACTCAATCACTCTAGATTGTCAGTGTTAAATATAAAAATTAACAAGAGTAATACACAACCCCATTTTCCTGAAAATTTTCCAAATAGTAATTTAAAAACTGAAATTCCAAATAAATCCAGGATCAATAAATAGTTACCAGGTGATGAGAAACTGAAACTTTAACCTGGCAAATCAACTAACAAATCTAGTAACATAGAAGTAAAAAACTTTGCTAGGCTATACATATGCATATTTGCATACCCATATTGTAAGTTCTAAATGGGCTTTGTTTTTATTTTGAGGAGGGCCAAGCTCTGCCACCATCAATCTGCCACTATCAATCAGGAGGAAGAACAGTAATTTATTTCCTAGGAATTGTGCACACCTTTAAAATTTCAAAGCATATTTTTCATACTCAGGGTATCATAGTAAATGTTCTATAAAACCGTTGGCTGAAGCCTAAGTAGTAACAAGGTCTGTGTTGAGAACAGCATTTATTGCCCAAACTTGTTGAGAAATGTAGCAGATTTGAGAAATTTGCTTGGACTAGAACAGAATATCTTGAAAGAGAAGTTTCAAAAAGGCAGCTTAAACTTTTCTTCCCAGGCTAAACTTTTATGTTAAATATCTCTAAAATGTTACTTTTTGGTTTTGTATTTGTTTTTTTAGACAACACTTTAATGAGATGCATTTGTTAGACATCCAATAAGCCATGACAGCTACTAATCTTTGCCACTTGAAGGTTCACAGATTAACAGGCTACTCACTAAAGTGAAAATATCACCTTTGGTTTCTAAGGCACACGGTTATCTACAGCATCTGAGTGGGATTTATTTGATGGACCGCAGTAAGTTCTCGAAACGTTTGCTGTGACTCGAGTAGAAATAGGCAAGTATTCACATTAGTCTGTAGTCCAAAGGGTACTTCAGCTAAAATATCTCAACCCTCACATCTGCAATCGCTGAGATGTGATCAGTGCTGTGCTGGGCAGTTTCTGCAGCTACCTCAGGCTGACCGTCAGAGCTCAGTGCTTTAGAGGGTTAGGCGAGTTCAGTTCCTTTTTGTTCAACAAGGCCTCATCTCCACTACATAAACCCTGGTCTCCAGTCCCACTACCCAAGGCCTGCCTTATATTAGGTCTTACTTGAGGGTTATCACACAAAGTGATTACATTATAAAAGGACTCCAGATCACTCTGTTCAAATGTAACAGCTGGTTTCAGTAATGTTCCAGGAGCAAGGGAACTGCCGCCAATAATTCTCAGGTTGATAAATTTGATTTTCCAAGTATTTTCCACAAAAGGGCTACGAATAAGTCCGAAAATTTGTTCAAAGATGCCCAAACAAGTATTTCCTCTGTGGACAGTCCCTGCAACTCCAACCATAACTAATCCATGAGGAGAAGAAGCACATTTCAGTCCCTGAGAGTCGAGGTTGGGACTAAGAAAAAGAAATTCCTCTTTCACTAATGACAGTAATCGAAGGCTCACAATTTCTGCTCCATGGTAGTCTATCACGTTTTGTTCTGTGGTACTATAATAAAACCTAAGCTTGACATCATTCCAGAAGTGCTGTGGGCCCCATTCATCTTGAGGTGGTCCCAGAAAAGGATTCTGAGAATTAAGAAGTTCGAAGAACCACTGACAGAACTCTTCTCCTAAGCGACGGAAATCAACCTTCTCAGCCTCTTTATCTTCTTTTGCCTGCTGGTTAAAACAAACACAGAGTAAACTGAAGGTTCCTCCAGAGTCTGCTTCCTAACTATGTGAATGCACTGCTGAGAGTAAAGGGAACTAAACCACACTAAGCACAGAAAATCTTCTTTGCAAAAGGAAGAAAACATTTTAAATTTCAATTTTATCTAAGTAAAATTTAACAAAGCTACTTCTGGGTTCAGTGGCCCATGGCTAAAGTGCCAGCTACTCAGGAGGCTGAGGTAGAAGGCTGGCCTGAGCACAGGACTCCAAGATCAGCCCTAGCATGCATGCTTTCTCTTTCTTTCTTTCTTTCTTTCTTTCTTTTCTTTCTTTCTTTCTCATACTCTCCCTCATTCTTTTGTCTTTTTCTTCTCCTAAGAAAAGATCTTACTCTGTATCTAAAACTGACCTCGAACTGGCAATCAACAAGTGTTGTCTTCTGTGTGCTGAGGTTACAGACATGTAACATTCCTCCTATTCTGTCATCCTCTCTCCTCAAAACCAATTATAAAACAGTAATATAGGAATGTTATATGCAATCTCCTTGATTTAATCTTGGAAAAAGGTTAAAAAAACACAAACAAAACCCTTTAAAATATCAATATCAGCATGAATAGTCAATGATAATGGTTTGTATATTATTTTTCCTTGACTGTACACATCTCTCAAAACTTTAAAAAATTTGCTTCAAATGAATCCTTTATTGACTATAAATTAAATATATATTATAAAATATGTAAAATGTTTATATAAAATTTATATAAAAATAAGACATTGCAATAATTAATAAAACTCATGAGGAATTTGCATTCTTCTAACATCACCATAAATTCTATTGAAAAGTAAGCTCTTGTCACTCATGGTATCTGCTCTAACATGAAATGACCATTATCTTTTTAATCAGGAGAGGCCTGTCAGAACTTTTTTTTTTTAAAAAAATGCTTTAAACATATACTTCTAAAGGTGATTGACATGGGTAATTTTCTATGACTGGAATTAATACTATCATTTTTTTAACTAAATGGGAAAATTACTATAAAATATACCCTAGAAACTAGACTTTATGAATCTGTGTATTCCAGAACCTTAATATCTCAGCAAGAATAAGATATGTCAAATTCTATACCATATGGACTACTATTCAATATACTTGGCACAGAAGGCGAATTTAAGTATATTTTCCCAGTCATCACATCACAATAAACCCTGATAATATATATTACTATGAGCATTTCTTTTTTCTCTTTTCAATATATTAAGCAAACAAGACCTAAAACACCCTTTCCTAACATGAAAGCATAGTAACTATCCTGAGTTCAATCTACCACCATTAAGTATTCAGTATCTAACACCCCCCCCAAACACACACACACACACACACACACACACACAGAGCAGCCAGGATTAACTGAAGAAAACTGGAAATCATTTTTTTCAAGTTTCTTAAATGAAATTTTTACACGACTACCAGTCTTACAAAATGAGAAAGGAAATTTAAAATTAGCTTTTTTTTAAAGTACAAAAACATGAGAAGTAGAGCTTCAATTAGAATGAAGTTATTCTTACAGTATACTTTCTAAACATATACCAGTTCTCATTTGTGGGAAAAGGAATACACTCCCCTGAACCCCAGGCCCATCTTCGAAGCAAGCATTCTATGTCTAGGCTGCTTTAGTGGTCTTGAAGTATGGAAAGGAGATAAAACACTAGAATACACAAATACTATGAACCAGGCACCTCAGATCTAGATTCAGGCAGAACCAGGACTCAGAACTAAGTACAAATCTCATGTACCTGTTCAAAGAGCTGGATATCTTCTGTCGTTGTAACTGCTTCCGCTGCAGTCTTCAGTTTCAGTGACTGTTCTTCCCAATAACCTTTTGCATACTGAATAAGATTGTGTTTTTCAGTAGTTGGAGGTACAACCACCCCTTGTGTTGCCAAATACTTAAATATGACTTCTCGGTGGACTTTTTTGCGCCTTAGAAGTTCTTCTACACTTTGACTATAAACTAATATTGCATGAATAGCATCTAGGAAAAAAAAAACAAAACAGTAATTAATAGACTAGCTCAAAGCATTTGTAAATTTGCCCAACATCAGCAAAAATCCTACTGAAACATATTTAAGCTCTTGCCATGATACTTGCTTTTGCATAAGAAGGCTATGGCTTTGAAAAGCAAGAAGAGGCTTATCCACTGGTTTGTTTTTTAAATCCTTTATACTTAAACTTCCTTAACCTTGCTGCTGCTGCTGCCGCCACCGATGGTGGTAAAGGCAGTGAAGCCTTTAGTCCCAGCACCTGGGAGGTGGAGGAGGCAGTTCTATGAGCTCGAGGACTGCCTGGTCTACAAAGCCAAGTTCAGAACAGTGAGGCAAACACAGTGAAACCCTGTCCCCCAAAACCAAAATAAATAAATAAGACTTGTTAATAAGTTAATAAGAAAAATCTTGACCCAGAAAAAAATTATTTCTATGCCCCAAAATCTAAAATCTATAACCCTTCAAAAAGTGACCAAAATGACAGTATTTGAGATGTCAAGGAATGTTGTCAAACTCCTTATTCTATAGATAATCAAAGCTGCTAAGTGGCAGGATCAGTAAGATGGGGTTTTTTTTTGTTTTGTTTTGTTTTAATTAAAAAGCTGTGCCGATAACACAAACTAAAACTGGACCTTCCAGTTTACACGACGGGTGCAAAACGGCATCAACTAACTTTCAGAAAGGTATTCACTGCACATACCCTTCCACGGGACACACTGTATCTTTGAGGCCTCCCGAAAGCTAACCTCTTTTCCCACCCATCTCAGGGTGGCTACCACATTACATCCGATCGTTTGGGGGTTTCTTTTGAGGGAGAGGAGGATTGGGATTTCTATCCCTTTCTTTACGGCAACACACATATCACTACTGTATTTAGTAAGGATATTTTCTAATGTTTTATAAATTCAAATGTGCGTGTTAAATTTTTAATTAAAAAAAAAAAACCTTGTGGTTTCGCCACTTCCCAACTTTTATCTGCAGGACCAAGAGACTGAGCATTCCTTGGCATCTACGGATTAAAGAGAGCCGTCAGCCCTTCTGTGGGCTGCCACGGCTATTTCAGGTGTTTATGTTC